GACTGACACAGAAGCACACTGGGAGACACAAGTCAGACTCTATAGGCCTTATATAAGTACACACACACACACACATATACATACACACATATACATACACACATATACATATACATACACACATATACATACACACATACACACACACACACACATATATACACACACACACACACACACACATATATATATAAAATGCCAGGTATGTGTGAAACTTAGTACTGCCAAAGTTAACCACCTCAAAGAACCACAGGAACAGCCCCGAGTACGGAGCATGCCCCTGTACAGAGCACTCCCCCACTTCCAGACCCTTGCACACTTCCCCTTGCTGTCTAGGAAAGTTGCAGCTCCTATTTTACAGAGAGTAGAGGTGGGCCTGGAACAGTGGCTCTGAGTGGTAGAAGTGGGGGATGCAGCCAAAGGAGCCTTTCATTGGGCTGAGGGGACAGAGCACACCTGGGCTGCCCCACTGCAGGCCACAGCCTTCTCGGCCCTCAGGATCCGCTTCACAGCACCCAGCTTCATGGCTTCCACTTGGGCGTCTGTCAGGGGCTTTAGTACATCACTCAGACGAAAGATCTTCTTGCGCCCACCAGCACCTGCCAGCCTACATGAGGGCAAGGAGAGGGACAATGACTCAGCACCCTTCCTGCAGCCCAGACCATCTGGTGCCACTTCAAGGACTGAGCCACCTAGACACAGAGTCCCCCGGCTGCCTCTGAGCTGCTGTAACTGAGTGAGGCCCAATAGGGTGGGAGGAAGGAATGAGGAAGACATGGCCATCATTTTTGCCCAGGATGTCACAAGGAAGAAGGCTGTCAGGAGGAAAAGTGCTGGAGACCAGAACAAAGGGGAGCTCAGAAAGCCCCAAGATCCCGGGGATGAGTTTCTCAGGCAGAGACGACTAAGCACAAAGACCACAATGAGGCTGAAGGAGGGGGAGGACAGACTCGGGGGAGCCTCAAGTGACATGAAGCAGGAGCAAGGCCGATTGGGATCTAAGTGATCAACAACGGTGATGACCAGTCGCCCTCGCTGCAGCAGGAATCAGGCCAGCTGCCTTCCCGGCAGTTCCTTCTGACCCAAACTGCTCTCTAACCCAGCGACTCCATCTATGGAGGAGGACTGCCACTCTCAAGTTCATACAGAAAATGGGGTGCAGCTGCAGAATCTGCAAAGGCTCAGAGTTCGGGCCAACTGAAGTATAAAGAGAGGCTGTCCTTCTTCCCCTCAGACACCACAGGAAGTGCTTGGGTGGGCACATGCTAGGAACAGATGGCGACGGCAGGACGGACTCCCACCTAGAAAGGGACTCACCGTGGCTGCGTGACGGGGATAATAGGCTCTGGCCTCCTCTTGGCCTGGGGCACCTCCTCCTCCAGCGGGGACATGGTGCTCAGAGAGCCCACCACCGAGATGGCCTGGCCCTGGGCCGACAGGCGTCTCTTGATCAGGACACTCTCGGGTTTCACCACCTTCTCTTCCTTGGGCTCCTCCTTGCACTGCTTGGTCTGCTCCACACCTGCGTGGAAACAGCCATGACACCCAGCACATCAGCTGCCACCAACACCAGACTTCTGGGCCACTCTGTGCATGCAGATCCCCGAGATCTGCATAGCACCCACAGAGGAGCTCTGCACTCACCATTAGCCCACTTTGAAATCTGACCACCCAGCTCAAGCCAGAAAGGGCTCGTTCCCAGAGGAGCATCTGATGACAGCCACTTGAGATACCTGACGAGCAGGCTTTCTCTGGTGTGTTTGAGTGGTATCTATGTGGTGTATGCATTGCGTGTACACAGGTGTGCTTGCCTGTGGGTGCACATGTAGAGGCTACCTCCCACTTAAAAATCTATTACATTTTATTTACTATGTGCCGGTCGCATTTTCGTGGGCACACACATGCCATGGCAAGTGTCTGGAGGTCAGAGGACAACTCTTGGGAGTCCATGCTCTCCTTTCATCTGGGCCCCAAGGACCAAGCTCAGGTCATTAAGCTTGACAGCAGGCACCACTGGCTGAGTTATCTCCCCAGCCCTACTTTATTTTTCTGAGACAAGGAGTCCTAGTGAATCTGGAGTTTGCCATTTCACCAAGCTTGGTGGACCCCCAGGATGTGCGTATCTCTGCACACACCCCTGTGCTGGGGGAACATGTGCACACCACTATGCCTGGCTTTTATGTGGGTGCTGGAGATCTGAAACCATGCTTACACATCAGGCATTTTACCCACTGAACTATCTCCTCAGCCCTTTTAAATCACATCTTATCTATCTGTATGTGTGGGCATGCATACAGGTGTGCCATAGTGCAGCTATGGAGATCAGAGGACAACTTGTGGGAGTTGGTTCTCTCCTTCAACCATGTGGGTTCCAGATATCACTCAGGTCCTTAGGCTTGAAGGCAAGAATCTGTACCGACTGAGCCATCACACTGGCACTTGTTTTGGTTTTGTGAGGCAGGGTCTCACGCACCCCTGGCCTCAAACTCTTTATGCAGCCAAGGATGACCCTGAACCTCCGAACCTTTAATAACCTTTAATAGCACAGGTGACATGACCAAACACTCCACTTCTTGGAATATGCTAAGGACAGGAGAACATGAGTACACCAAAGACTTGCACACCACTGTTCATAGCAGCTCTGCTCACCATGAAAACTGGAAACAGGGCCATCAAGCTGGATCAGATAGTAAAGGCACTTGTCACACAAGCTTGGTGACCCAAGTTCAACCCTGGAATCTACATAAAGATGGAAGGAGAGAATGGACTCCACAAAGTTGTCTTCCAGTCTCCACACACATGCCCTGGCATGCAACTCCTCATTATGCACACATATGCACACTAAACAAACAGCTGGGGAACAAGCCAGAGGTCCACCAACAGAAGACAGTGAACTCTGGTGGAACAGTCATGTAATAAACTTAGTGAGCAGCAGAAAGTTAGCTGCAGCTAGGCATGCTGGCAGACCCCTTTAATCCCAGCACCAGGGAGGGAGAAGTAGGCAGATCTCTGTGAGATAGAGGCCAGCTTGGTCTACATAGTGAGTGCCAGGCTAGCAAGGGCTATGTAGTGAGATTTTTGTCTTTAAAAAAAAAAAAAATAAAGTAAACCAGGGGCTGAAGAGATGGCTCAGCAGTTAAGAGCACTGGCTGCTGTTTCAGAGGACCTGGGTTTGGTTCCCAGCACCCACATGGCTGCTAACAACCAGTTCCAGGGGATTTGACGACCTCATCTGGCCTCCATAGGCACTGCACACATGGGTGCCCTCTCCTACATGCTGACAAAACTCATACACACAAAAATAAATCTCCCTCCTAAAAAACAAAGAAAATTAAAAAGTAAACTGCCAGTTCACACAATAGACAGTATTGATCAATTAAACTCTGAAGTACCAAAGAAGTCAGGCTCTGATCCAATGTCTGTGAGGTTCAAAAGAGAACGTAAGAGTGGAAGCGAAAAAGAGCAGCAGTTGTCTGGAGGTGAGGCATGCCACACAGCAGTGGATGGAGTGACAGGGAACCAGAGTGGGGAGTCGGCCCTATCTGATCTGATGGAGTTTACACTGCTGTCATTTGTGAAGCTCACAGAAGTGCTGACATTAGAGCTGTGCGTTTCATTACTGTTCATAACTTACACTTCAAAAAATGTGTTGGTGCCAAGAATAGTCAACACCTACAATCCCAGCACTCAGGAAGCGACGCAGGAGGACTGGCACGAGTTAGAGATAAGCCTGTTCTACACAGCAAGATCTTTGCTTTTTTAAAAAAAAATTTTTTTTACTTATGCCAGGCATGGTGGTACACACCTTTAATCCCAGGACTGGGGAGGCAGAAGCAGGCGGATCTCTGTAAGTTCAAGGTCAGCCTGGTCTACATAGCCAGTTCCAGGCCAGCTGGGGCTACAGGGAGACCCTGTCTCCAAAAAAAAAAAAAAAAAAAAAACCCAAAAAACAACCACCACAAAAATGTACTGTTGAAATAGGGGAAAATTCCAAGCTGAGTGATCAACAAGAATCACACATCGATCAATGAGGGAAGCAGTCACATTCAATGTGGACCTCAGGCCAGAGTCTGCTACTTCTCAAAGCCTAGGGCCTACAAACATTGAGCTCTCTAACAATTGGCATGGGACTGTTAACATGTTGGACGGCACACAATCTTCATCTCCATACTTTACCAGCAAGGAGAGCCCAGTGCCAAGGTTTGGTCTGGGCACCAGGGGACACTCACCAGGACCTAGTCCTGCAGCAGTCATCTGTGTGGCCATGAGTCGAGCCAAGTGCTTGATCTGGGCTTCAGTGCCCGCTGACTCCACGGGGGTATAGATGGCTTGGAAGGAGGCAGGCATGGTTTCAGGCAGGTACACCATGCTGATGAGGACCTGTGGGAGACGCAGGGAGGGGAATCCTTAACCAGGACCTCAACCCAGGCCAGCATGGGGGAAGCAGCAGGCCAGGCTGGGCCTAGCCTGGTCTCAGCTGTCTGGGGAGTCACTTCACAAGTTTTGATTGCTGGGGACTAGACCACCTGAAGAGGCACACTGGGAGAAATGGCCTGTGGAAGAAGGGTGAGAAAAAGAGGTTCACCCAAGGGTGGGAGGACCCCAGAGCTGACACTATGAGGAGGTGGCACCCAGTGTAGAATGGAGGTAGGGAAATGATCCTTCCTCCTGCGGTGGGAACCCCACCCTCCTCCTCCTCACCAGATTGGCCACATTGTCAGGGGTCAGCAGAGGCTGCAAGAACTCAGCAGTGATGTCTGTGTCTGACTGGCTTGAGATCTGGGCTGAGGCCTTCGAAGTCCCTGATGGGCCAGGCTCCAAGTCCTTGTCCTCATCATCTTCTCCAAGGTTGGGCTCTGAGGTGGGGAAGGAGCAAGAGGCTGGCTACAGACACCAGCAAGAGTCCTTTCTAGGAGCCAGGCAACCCTGCCTCCAGCCAGCCACTGTAGGGAGCAGCCACACAACAGAGGACCTAGGCTGTAGGCTGCCTCGGCTATCAAAGCACCACCTGACCCGGGCCAACAAGCGGCCTCTTCCCAGGTCTCAGTTCTCATCTGGGAAATGGCAAGAAGGCAGAAACTTCTAGTGGATTCCATTAAGCTCCACGGTGACAATTATCACTAATACAGTCAGTGCTGGGAATGAAACTTAGGACCCTGTTCATGTTAGACAAGTGTTCTACCACTGAAGCACACTCCCAGTCAGAGAAGTATCATTACCACCACCACCATTATTGCTACTGTTTTCCTTAAGCTGTTTTTTTTCTTTTTTTAATATTTTATTTATTATTTTATGTGTATGTGTTTATTGCCTGCATGTAAGTGTACCAGTGTCATGCAATGCCCACGGAGGACAGAAGAGACTGTCAGATCTCCTGGAACTGGAGTTATAGACAGTTGTTAGCTGCCGTGTGGGTGCTCAGATTCAAACCCAGGTCTTCTGCAAGAACAGCCAGTGTTCTTAACTGCTGAGCCATCTCTCTAGCCCGTTTCTTTTTTCTTTAAGACAAGGTCTTACTATGTAGCTCATGCTGGACTTGAACTCATGTTCCTCCACCCTCAGTCTCCCAAGTATGGGATTTGCAGGTGAACATCAACATGCCTGGTTAGAAATATGGCATTCCATACTAGAAACCTGGAAAACACCACATTAACTGAGTGAGCAAGTGACTGTCACCCATAATGGGTCAGACACTGTGTGCCTCCTGATCCCTGGCTCTGAGGAGGCCCAAGCTCCGTTTCTGTAGTGTTCCTGCCAGGACTGCAGAGCCTGAATCCAATCCAGGAGCAAAGGTGCACAAAAGCACATGGAGAGATCCTCCACCAAACTACTGTCTTAGACTTTTTTCTTTTTGAGACAGGGTCTCCCTGTAGCCCCAGCTGGCCTGGAACTCACTATGTAGACCAGGCTGGCCTTGAACTCACAGAGATCCACCTGTCTCTGCCTCTGCCTCTGGAGTGCAGGGATTAAAGGCATGCCTGACCACACCCAGCTGTCTGGGTCTCTTTATAACAGTAACACATGGACGGCTGAGCTCCAAAGAGCAGATGCCCTCCTCTGGCCTTCAGGGGCACAGATGCACACATATGTACTCATGATTAAAAATAAAAATAAACTTGCTGGGCATGGTGGCGCACGCCTTTAGTCCCAGCAATTGGAAGGCAGAGGCAAATGGATCTCTGTGAGTTCAAGACAAGCCTGAAAGACCAATAAATAAATAAATAAACTTAAAAAATGAAAAAGAAGGGGGCTGGAGAGATGACTCAGCATCTAAGAACACTGGTTGTTCTTACAGAAGACCTGGGTTTGAATCCTAGCACCCATATGGCAGCTAACAACTGTTTGCAACTCCAGTCCTAAGGGATCCAACAGACCCTTCTGACCTCCTCAGGCATTGCACGACACAGGTGCACTTACCTATATGCAGGCAATACAAGTATACACATAAAATAAAAATAATAAAATAAAATAAAAAAAACGAAAAAGAAATAGAGACAATTGGTTTTAGGCAGACTTTAAAGGCACAAACCCTCTTCCTAAGTACCCTTTCCTCTGAAGTATCCCATGTTTAGATGCGCAGAACTGTTTCCCTGGAGCAGAGCACAAATCAAATGCCCATCAACAGGATGGTGAATGTTACTGTGCACATTACATAGCACTTGGCCACAATTAAAAAGATGCAGCGGGGACTAGAGAGATGGGGCTCAGTGGTTAGGAGCCCTGGCTACTCTTGCAGAGGACCAGGGTTTGGTTCCCAACACCCAAATAGGAGCTAACAACCATCTGTAACTCCAGTTCCAGGGGATCCAACACCCTCTTCTGACTTCCCTGGGCACTGTACACCATGGGTGCACTGACACACACGCAGGCACTACACTCACACACATAAAATAATTTAAATTTTTTTTTTTTTTTTTTTTTTGTCTTTTTGAGACAGGGTATCCTTGTAGCCCCAGCTGTCCTGGAATTCACTATGTTGACCAGGCTGGCCTTGAACTCACAAAGATCTGCCTGCCTCTGCCTCCCAAGTGCTGGGATTAAAGGCATGTGCCACCACACCTGGCCCCAGAAATAATTAAAAATTTTAGGGGCTGGAGAGATTGCACAGCGGTTAAGAGTGCTGACTGTTCTTGCAGAAGACCCGGGTTCAATTCCCAGCACCCGCATGGAGGCTATAAACCATCCTTAACTCGTTTCAGAGGAATCTGAAGCCCTCTTCTGAGCTCCGCGACATTGCACAACACGGGTGCACTCACATACATGCAGGCAACACACTCATACACATAACAGCTGTCCTGGAACTCACTATGTAGACCAAGCTGGCCTTGAACTCACAGAGACCTGCATTCCTCTGCTTCCCAAGTGCTGGGATTAAAGGCGTGCACCACCACGCCCAGCTCAAAAATAAAATATTTTTTAAAAATTTAAAAAACAAAATAAATAAGTTTGTAAATTTTTGTATTTTTTTTCCCTTTCCCTGTTTTTGGGACAGCTGGCCTAAAACTTGCAGTGTTCCTCTGGCTTCAATCTCATAGCAATCTGCCTGCTTCTGCCTCCCAAGTATCAAGATTACAGGCATCTGCCACTACCCACATCATCATTAAGCATCTTACAGGCTCAGCCCCAGCTCACCCAGCTTCATCTTCTTGAGTGTGGAGTCTGAGTCATCACGGGGCCGCTTGCGGGAGTCCTTGCTGCTGGGCATATTGCGGGCGATCTCGGCCTGGGGGGTGCCCAGATCCACCAGTAGGGTAGTGATTTGGGCCTGGAACTCCAAGGAGGCAGGGTGCTTGAGCACGCTCAGCAGGTGCAGCTTGAGGTTCTTGCGCACGCTACTCACCTGAGACTTGGCCAGTGTTGGGGGCAGGTTGGCTGTGAGGACAGAGATGTGGAGGTTGGTGCTGAGGACAGACCAGCCTGAATTCCTGGGGCTCTTGCTGATATGCTCTGGGAAGTTCCTAGGCCTTCAGGAAGATGGAGTGACCTTCCTCCTTTCAAGCTGTAGCTTAAATCTGAGTGACCTCAATCATATCAGTCCCTTTAAGGGAGAAAGGTCCCCATCTGTAGTCTGGATGCTATAATACCACCTTCTCCACCAACTGTCTACTGAGGTGCCACAGCTGAGGCTGGTGCCTGCCACCTGTGGGACTAGCCAGACACTGCTGGTCACTTTGGTGAGCTGGCTGTCCCTGCTCTGCAGAGAAAGATAAGGCCTCCAACTTTGCCTGCCTAGTGTCCACTGTCAGTTCCCCAGCCAGCACCACTCCCATTCCGCTTTGAGGGAACCACCAGGTATCCATCCTCTATCCAGTGTGCACCACACTGGGAGCCAATGAGAACACTGGGTTCCCCTGGCTACTGTGATTGGTTCAAAGGGAGGATCACAGTCTCTGCTCAACCAATCAGAAACAATGAGCACCCGCCCTGGGACTTCTGCTGGAATGATGGGGAAGGAGACACTCTCTGTCCACTCCTGTTGCTAAGTGGACAGGATGGAAGCCTCTAGCTGTGGGGCCATCTTTGCTGCTCTAGGTAAAGAGCCAGAGAATGAAGCCAACCTAAGAGCCCTGAGATGGACAGAGACCCACACCCACTCTCGTCTTGACCTCAGACTTGCTAGGGCTTATCCAGGCACAAAAGTGGAGAAAATGTTATCAGTCACCTTTTCTGAGGGATCAAAGAAAGGCTGGAGTATGTCAAAGTATTTCCTAGGCAAGGCATCACACTCATGTTGGTATTAAAGCTCTGAAGCAGGTTTCAGCCAAAGGTTTGTCTTTAACTGACTACCTTTGCCCTGAAGCTCACAGTGGAGCATGACCTGCACACAGTGGAGCACCCCACAGCTCACCATTTCTTCAGGAACACACAACCTGGCCAGCAGAGGCCTGGGAGGGCTCAACCTACCATGCAGAGTTTCATAGGCCTGGATCACTTCAGACATGAACATGGGTCTCTGGCGAGCAATGTTGGCGAGGGAACCCAGCGCTGTGGTCAGGTTGATGGAGGAGATGGCAGGGTGCACCATGAACTTCAGCAGCTGCTCCAGGGCTGCCTTGCCCTCTTCCCACAGTACATCTAACAGGGCAAGGAAAGAGAGGACCAGTCAATGGGGTCCTCTTCTCAGGCCTCTGACCTGCTTTTCAAAGAATCAAAGAAAAGCTTAATCAGGTTGCCGCTAAGAATGGCTGGAAAACAGGAAATTGAGCCACAGATGAGTGAGTGGTAAGATACTATTAGTGACTTTTAGGGCTAAGTGACAATGATGGTCTAAGCAGGCCTACAGATAATTTGAAACATTCAACTACAGGAAACCAGATGCGGATATAAAACTTAAATTTGTTAAATTTATTTACATTTATTATTTATGGGGGGAGGCACGTGTGCCACAACATATATGTGGAGGTTAGAGGGCAACTCTGGTGAGTCACGTCTCTTTCCAATTCCTGGGTCCAGGGCTCAAACTCAGGTATACCTATCAGTCAAGTACCTTTACTGGCTAAGCCACTTTAACAGCCCATTTTTATTTTTATTGTTATTGTGTGTGTGTGTGTGTGTGTGTGTGTGTGAGAGAGAGAGAGAGAGAGAGAGAGAGAGAGAGAGAGATGTATATGCGTGCCACAGGAGGGATGTGTAGGTCAGAGGACAACACTGGAGTCTGTCCTCGCCTTCCACCTTGCTGGGGCAGGGGCTCTCCTTTCTGCTGCGCGGTCTACTCCAGGCTAGCTGGTCTGCGAGCTCTGGGAGATTTTCCAATCTTGCCACAGGAGTGCTAGGATTGCAGATGTGCAGTGCCAAATCCAGCTGGGTTTGTTTATTTTATTGTTTGTTTTATTTGTTTTTATTTTTTTGGTCTTTTTGAGACAGGGTCTCCCTGTAGCCCCAGCTATCCTGGAACTATGTAGACCAGGCTAGCCTTGAACTCACAGAGATCCGCCTGCCTCTGCCTCCCCGAGCACCACGCCCGGCTACTGTTTGATTTTTGTATGTATGAGTTGTTAGCCACCATGTGGGTGCTAGGGATCAAACCCTGCTGAGCCATCTCTCCAGCCCCTTATTTTAATATTTTCTGGGGGGTCTTTTTGCAACAGGGTCTCCCTGTAGCCCCAGCTGTCCTGGAACTCACTATGTAGACAAGGCTGGCCTTGAACTCACAGAGATCCGCCTGCCTCTGCCTCCCGAGTGCTGGGATTAAAGGTGTGTACCACCACACCTGGCTATTTTTTTTTTTTTTAATGTGGGTTTTATGGATTGAACTCAGGTTGTCAAGCCTAATGGCAACCTTTGAATAGATATAACTCAACACTCGGGCAACAACACCATCCCCAATCCAGGCCCCAAAAGCCCACACTTACACCATGCTTATTATTGGAAAATGAGTAAAATATTCCATGCTCATTTACACAGAACTGCTTAAGAGCAAGATGGAGCAAGACTGTGAAATGTGCCCTTTTTGGTTTTTTTTGGTCTTTTTGAAACAGGGTTTCCCTGTAGTCCCAGCTGGCCTGGAACTTGCTATGTAGACCAGGCTGGCCTTGAACTCACAGAGATCCGCTTGCCTCTGCCTCCCAAGTGCTGGGATTAAAGGCCTATGCTATGCCACCACACCTGGCATGTCCATTTTCTTTTTAAAAAAGATAGGGTCTCATTATGTAGACCAGGCTGGTCCTCCTGCCTCACCTGCCAGGTACTAAGTGATGTGGTGCTGGAGAATGGACTCAGCTCTGTGCATGCTAGGCAAGTACTCTACTAATTCACACGTAGCCCCAGCCCCAGGATATGCACTACCCTTACAAGTGGTGACTGGGAACACCATAACTGGGCCTGAGTTAGCTCATTTCCCTTCAACTTTGGACTTTGGTCTGTGAAGGGATTACAACCACCTCCACTTTTCCAAAAGGAAAATGGAGTTCAGAAAGAAGCGACTGCTGAAGGTCATGAGTAAGGACTAAAGCTGTCAGGGCTTCCGACCACTGCACTTGATGGTCTCCAGAAATAAAAAAGCTTTGAAGAGGGCAAGGGGAAGCCAGGAGTGGTAGCACCTTTAATCCCAGCACTCAGGAGGCAGAGGCAGGCAGCTCTCTGTGAGTTAGAGGTCAGTCTGGTCTATATTGAGTTCCTTGCTAGTCAGAGCTACATAGTAAAACACTGTCTCAAAAGTGGGGGGTGGGGGGAGAATGACTCAGCAATAAAGAGCACTTGCTGCTCTTGAGAGGACCAGGGTTCAGTTCCCAACACCTACATGGCAGCTAAAACCATCTACAACCATGGTTCCAGGGGATCTGATGCCCACTCCTGGCCTCTGCAAGTGCTGTACACACATGCTAGTGTGTTTACATGCTGACCAAACACTTATGCACATAAAAATTAATAAAAAGAAAAGATTTGGGTATGGTGGCGCACAACTTTAATCCCAGCACTCAGGAGGCAGAGGCAGGAAGATCTCTGTGATTTCAAGGCCAGCCTGATCTACGTAGTAAGTTCCAGGACACCTGGGGCAACAAGGAGATCCTGTCTCAAAAAAAGAGGGGGTGAGCAAGGGGAGGCTGGTCATATAATCTTACCTAGTCCTTAGAAAGGTAGAGGCAGAAGAATCAGAAGTTCAAGGTTACCCTTGGCCACAAGTTTAGGGCTAACCTGGGATGCATGAGACCCTGTCTCAAAACCAAGCAACAAAAAAGGGTGGGGTGGGAGAGAGAGGGTGAGAGCAGGGGTGAGCACACAGAGCAGCAGGGATGCAGCACTCACTGTACTGGATGTAGGGGTGGTCTCGAGGGATACGGTCCAGGCTGATGTCATGCTCATGGCGACGAGGAACCTCTGAGTCAGTCATGCGGGGTGACAGGGTGACAATGAGGCCTTCCACAAACTTGATGGCATGTGTGCGGATGCCATCATTGTCAGAGTCCAGCAGCAGGATGATTTCCCCAGCCATGGCTGACACCATTTCCCAGCAGGCCTCCTGGAGATCACTGATGACCCGGGACTTCACCATCCACTGCCAAACGGACAGGCAGGAAGGGAAGGAAGAGACAGAGACAGGCCATCAACTGCCAGCACATTCTGCTTCCACCTGCTTTGAGTGATGAACACATTCATGTAATGGTTACTGTTCAATGCTGGCTGAATCTGGGACATGACCCAGGGCAACAAGACAGGGATGCCCCACTGATGAAGTAGCAGTCTTTAAAGGGTAGCAGCTTCAGAAGGTGATGGTGAGTAACTGGTCTCATTCATTCTGCTAACAAGGATAAACAAACCCATGAGCATTACTGGGTCTGTTACTGTGTCCTCAAATCACATTGCAACCAACACTCACATGATCCTGTTTTTTTTGGCGTTTTGAGAGAGGGTCTCCTTGTAGGTCCAGCTAGCCTGCAACTTGATATATAGACCAGACTAGCCTCAATCTCACAGAGATCTGCCTGCCTCTGTTTCCCAAGTGCTGGGATTAAGGGTGTGTGCCACCACGGCAGGCAATTACTGCTAATTTTGCAGACAAGGTCTTCCTGGGTGGCCAAGGTGACTTGGAACTCTTCAGTCCTTCTGCCTCAACCTCCCAAGTGCCAAGATGACAGGCCATCAACAGCATGGGTGGTTGGTCTCTGTTCCTCACTAGGTTAGGAACACTGTGAAGGCTGCATCTAGTATCCTGATCCTGGTTGTGTCCCATGTCACTGGCATCCGGCTGGACAGAGTAGAGATGCTTAGGGAAATGTTTGTTGATTACATAAATGAGTAGACCCAGAGGCTGGAAAGTTAGCTCAGTAGTTAAGAGTCCTGGATTCAGTTCCTAGCACCCACATGACGGCTAACCACCATCTATAACTCAAGTTCCAAGGGATCTGATGCCCTCTTATCTCTGCAGGCACTGTATGACAGGGATGTACTTATGTAAATACAAGCAAAACACTCATACACTTTTTTGGCTTTTTGAGACAGGGTCTCTCTGTAGCCCTAGCTGGCCTAGAACTCACTACATAGACCAGGCTGGCCTTGAACTCAAGAGATCGGCCTGCCTCTGCCTCCCAAGTGCTGAGATTAAAGGCGTGTGCCACCACGCCCAGTCAAAACACTCATACACTTAAAAAAAATGAGTGGACCTAGAAGGCAACATTAGATCCCTTGTCTGTTCCCATGACCCTCAGCAAATCTAACTCATGAAGAATATGCTCTGGTCAGGCCTGGTAATTCCAGCTAATAGAGGCTGAGGTAGGGAGATTCAAAGTTCAAGGTTTTCTGCACAACTCAGCCAGACCTTGCCTCAAAACAAGATGTGAAACACAGGCTGAGGGTATGCCTCCGTGGTGCAGTGCCTACCTAGCTCAACACTCAGTACCAAACCAAAGCAACAATGCTTCCACTGCAGCTTTAACTGTACCGAGGCAGCCTTGGGAGGCATGGCTGGGAGGGGCCCTCACCTGCAGGGCCACCTTGTAGAGCTGGGTCATGGTCAGGATGGCCTTCTTTACCACGTTCACATTCTCATCCCTCAGCAGCATGTTGAGGTTGGCAATCAGCTTTAGCAGCAACTCAATGTCTCGCTTGCTGGGAAAGGGAAGAGAAGAGGCTGGATCACCATGGTCTTGGGCTATTAGGACCCACAGCTCAAGAACTAAGAGAGGCAGAGTCAGGAGCTATTCTGGAGTTGGTCACCGACCAAGGAATGATGCCAACACTGCTCTAAGGCTGTCCCTGGCCCCTGGCCCCTAGTCCTTGGCTGGTCCTACAGCCCCACTCCTTCACCTTTCCAGAGCCCATCGTGACAGTAGAACCAACAATTATGGGCTATCAAGACAGCAAATTAATCTTTTTGAGACAGGTTTCAAGTACTCTAGGTTGGCCTCTAACTTCACGTGTAGCCAAGGATGACCTTGAGCTCCTGATTCTGCCTCCACTTCCCCAATGCTAGGATTATAGTTGTACACGACCAACTGAATAACATCCTGGCCCCAAGCCTTCGCCCTACTGTTTTAATAATACCTACTGCACAGGTGGTGAAAAACTGTTACAATACCATCAAGTGCTTAGAACAGACTTGTAGGAAGTATGTCTAGTTCTGTTTACCCAAGTCTGAAAGTTCCCATACTGGGGACCCTTTCATCATGCTAAGAACCAGCAGGGTCACTCTGGTTGCCAGAAAGAACAAAAGGCTTCCAGTAAATGTCTGTCCCATCAATACAGACATCTGAGTAGGCTAGCCCCCAGCACTTAGTGCATGTGATGTCACAGTACAAATTCCAATCTGATTAACTTCATTGGTCAAACATGAAATATGGGTGCTTGGGATGCAACTCTATTGGTAGAGTGCTTGTCTAGCATGCTCAAGGCCCTAGGTCTGAGGCCAGCCTAAGCTACGTGAGACCCTGCAGCAAATAAAGAAAATCAACTTGACTAAGATCCAGGATGGCAGGCACAGCACCAGGCTTTTCTCGGGGCTGTGTTCCCACAGTACACTGCAGCACAGGGTACACATTTGCCACTACTTTTTGGGAACTCAGAAAATTCCCCACAGCTAGGTGTAGTGGCAGGTAAGTTCAAAACCATAGCGAGACCCTGTCTTAAACAAACAAAACTAGCAGTTTCCCCAGTAAAGGAGGGTGTGTGATAATGTGGTCCCAGGTCAGACACAGGATAACAATCCCAGTCCTGCCAAATTCTGTCACATGAACTTAGGAAAACCCATTTGACCTCTCCAAGACTGTTCTCAATTAAGATCATGCAGCTTCATGATGAAGGCAAACAAAAAAAGCAGGACAAGCATCAGGACAGGTCCTGGCAGGCAGAAAGCCTCACAAAAGCTGCTTTACCTCCTCCCCTCACAACGTCAGCAATGTGTGCTGAAGGAAGGGAAGGGCTGGTCCAACTGATTTGGGAGAGTTACTCCCTTTGGAGTCTCAGTGTCCCTTTCCACAGAGCGAGTGACAGGCCCCTCCAAAGCTGCTGGGAAGGTGAAATTTAGGAAAGGGCCTCATATAACTCGGACAGTGACGGCCATGATTAAATGGCTGGATGTGTCACCTACTAGTAGAACCAACCATGCTCCAGGGAGACACTGGGGCAATGGTGGCCAACAAGAGGTCACACCCCATTCTGTGAAGCTGACATTTTTTTGTGGAGAAGACAATTACTGAGGTGATAACCAAACAGGGAGGCCTCTACAAAGTGCTACAGGGGGCAGGAGCCAGAGGGTGCTGCCAGGAAGGATCTTCTGAGACCACTTGGAAAGTGAGGGCATGGCTGCCTGGTGCCATGGGGCCTGGGCAGGCAGGAAGCAGACAGGCTACAAAGGATCAATGCTTTCTGAGAACACAGGAAGAGAGAGTGTCTAGAGGGAGCCAGGGCCAGGTAAGTGTGTGGGTAGAGGGCCAGGACTTGAGAGCACAGAGTGCAACAAGAGTCCAGGCCCCCTCTTCAGAAGAGCATCCCAACCAAGTGCAGAGGTGGGCAAATAGGGAAGGTTGATTTCCCCCAGGTGAAGAAGATGCTTCAGACTGGACCTATGAGGCCAGGTATAGGGACACACATCTCTTATTCCAACAACTGGGAGATAGAGGGAGGACCAAGAGGGCAAGGTCACCCTCTACTACAGAGCTGCAGGCTAGCCTGGGCTACGTGAGACCTTGTCTAAAAAGTAATAATCTAGAAAATGAATGCACTAAATGCCACGGACACAGCAAAGGGGAGAGGGGAGACCATAAAGCAGAGCCGGCCAGATGGCTCAGTGGGTGAAGATGGTGCGAGGACAGAATCAATGTCTGAAGTTGTCCTCTGACCTTAGACACATGCCATGGTGTACACACAGGAAGGCAGAAGCAGTACTGTTACAAGTTCAAATCCAGCTTGGTCTACATTGAGTTTCAGGTTGGCAGGGGCTACATAGTAGGAACCTATCTCACAAAAAAAAAAACAAAATAAAACAGTTGGGCGTGGTAGTGCAGGCCTATAATCCCAGTACTCAGAGGAAGAGGCAGGAGGACTTAAGTTCAAGGCCATCTTTGGTTATATAACAAGCTGTTGGGACATCCTGGGCTATGTGGAACTATTTCAAAACTAAACTAAACTAAGTAAAGAAATAAGTAGGTAACATAAGGCCAGGAGACTGTGGTGTGTAGCTATAATCTAAGACTGAAGTAGGAGGTCAGGAGTTCAAGGCCAGTCTGGACTACACAGACACTAGTATCTTATACAGAAAATAGCTAATTTTGTCATATGAATTTCACATCAATTAAAAAGGAAAACTAGGGACTGAGAGAGATGGCTCAGTGGTTAAGAACACTGGTAGTTCTTGTAGAAGACACAGATTCCATTCCCACCCGTATGGCAGCTAACAACTGTCTGTAACTCCTGTCCCAGGGGATCTGATAGCCTCTTCTGGCCTCCTCAGGCATTGCACTACATGGGTGCAATGTATATGCAGGCAATACACTCAAACATATAAAATAAAAATAATAAACAGCTGGGTATGGTGGCACACGCCTTTAATCCCAGCACTCAGGAGGCAGAGGCAGGTGGATCTCTGTGAGTTCAAGGCCAGCCTGGTCTACACAGTGAGTTTGGTCTGCACAGTGAGTTCCAGGACAGCTGGGGCTACAGAGAGGCCCTGTCTCAAAAAGACCCCCCCCAAAAAAACCATAATAATAATAATAAATAAATAAAACTTTTAAAAATTTAAAAAAAAAAAAAAAAAAGGAAAACTAAACAGGGCATGGCTTAAAATCCAAGCATTTGGGAGACTGAAGCAGGAGGGTTAGGAATTCAAGGCCAGTCTGGGCTATGAGACTGTCTCAAAAAACCAAAAACATGGGGCTGGAGATGGCTCGGTCATTAAGAGCACTGGCTGCTCTTGCAGAGGACCTGGGCTCAGTTCCCAGCACCCACATGGCAGCTAGCAACCATCTATAACTCTAGTTCCACAGGATCTGTGGACCCTCTTCCATGGGCACTGCACATACATAGCACATTTACATACATGCAGACAAAGAAGTCACACACATATAAAAAAAAATTAAGCCAGGCATGGTGGGGCATGCCTTTAATCCCAGCACTTGGGAGGCAGAGGCAGGCGCATCTCTGTGAGTTCAAGGCCAGCCTGGTCTCCATAATGTATTCAAGCCAGCTGTGGCTACAGGCAGACCCTGTCTCAAAAAGACCAGGAAAAAAAAAAAAAATCTAAAAAATAAAAACAAAGTATCACTTCTTCCCCAAAACATAAATATACAAATTAGAAAAAGAAAATAAAACTAGGAGGAGCTGATGGGCTGAGGAAGTAGCTTAGTGGCAGAGCATCTGCCTAGAATGTGCCAATGTGTAGCAGGAGGCATGGTTAGGTGGTATAGCCCTTGCGTGAACCTTGAGGGCTGAAGGTGTGGTTTAGAAGTGGAGGGCTGGTTGTGAGGGGCTGGGGGCGAGACTCCCTGGGAGAACATTACTTAGCATGCCCAAGGCCCTGGGTTCAAAGTCTCCTAGCCTGGCAGGAAGGAAAGAGAGTTGAGCCAGAAAACAACTCTTTCTGGCAGTGCCAGCGCTGAGGGAAGGTCAGCTGCTGCATATTCTGAAACCAAGACTGCGCTGCTGTGGTTGAGGCATGGGTGAAGTGTGGTTCAAGTGGAGTAATCCTCAGACCCAGGGCTTCGGTCTCCTTAGGTGTGTCCTGAGGGAGTGATGCCCAGGGTGGCCCCATACCATGCCTCCTCGATGAAGCCAATCACAAACTTTCGCACTTCAATGGACTTGTCAGCTTGGAAAGCGATGATCTCCTGTCAGGAAGAAGCTGGGTCAGGCCAAACCAAGGCATGTCACCTCACCCTTACCCCACCCCAGGCCAGTAACTCACATCCAGAAAGTTGTCAAGCAGGGTAGGGTCTTTATTGATAATCAACTCCTGGACCTAAAAGGAGATTGGGGGAAAGAGGAACAGACATAAAAACCAGGACACAGCCAGACGTGGCACACGCCTTTAATCCCAGCACTTGGGAGGCCGAGGCAGGCAGATCTCTGTGAGTTCAAGGCCAGCCTGGTCTACATAGTGAGTTCCAGGACAGCTGGAGCTACAAGGAGACCCTGCCTCAAAAAGACAAAAAAAACAAAACAAAACAAAACAAAAAAAACCCAGGACCCAACCAGGCATGGTGGCTCTCCCCCATTATCCTAGGCCTTGGCAGGCTGAGGTATTCAACCTCAAAACGAAAATTAAGAGGTCAGTGAGATGGTGCAAGGCAGGTAAAGGCGCTCACTGCCAGGCCTGAGGAAGAACATTCCCCGAGGCCCACAGGTTGAGGTCATCTCCTAAATTGTCCTCTGATCCCCAAGGTTGCATAAAATAAAAACAAAGCCAGGTGTGATAGCACACGCCTTTAATCCCACCTGCAGAGGCAGGTGGATCTCTGTGAGTTCAAGGCCAGCCTGGTCTCCATAGGGAATCCAGGTCAGCTGTGGGTACAGGGAGACCCTGTCTCAAAAAGACCAAAAGAGTCTGGGCGTGGTTAGCATACACCTTTGGTCCCAGCACTAGGGAGGCAGAGGCAGAGGCAGACAGATCTCTATTATGAGTTCAAGGCCAGCTTGGTCTACTTAGCGAGTTTCAGATCAGCTGGGGCTATAAGGAGACCCTGTCCCCAAAAGACCAAAAAAATAAAATAAAATAAAAATAAGACCTGGGGAGATGGCTCAGTAGATACAGTGCTTCTCTGCAAGTACAAGGAGCAGAGTTCAGATCTACAGAACCTACGGAAAAACAAGGCAGGCATGGCAGTGGCCTGAAACCCCAAAGTCAAGACACAGAAGACCTCTGAGTGTCCTGATTCGACTAGCTCATCAGCAAGCCAAGGCAGGGTTCAGAGACCCTGCCTCAGCATATAAAATGGACAGCAACTGTCAGGCGTGGTGGCGAACACCTTTAGTCCCAGCACTAGGGAGGCAGAGGCAGGCGGATCTCTGTGAGTTCAAGGCCAGCCTGGTCTCCATAGCAAATCCAGGCTGCTAGGGCTACAGGGAGACCCTGTCTCAAAAAGACCAAAAAAAATAAATAAATAAACAGCAACTGAGAAAAACGACCTCAACTCTGAGTCTGTATGCATAGGCACACACGTGCGCATGCACGCACACAGGTACATGCTGAAAAACACAAACGCACAAACACACCTCTATACCCATGTGAACAAGCATAAACACATGCACACCACATATATATGCAAAATAAATAATTTAAATATAAAGAAAAATCCAGGATCCAGTCAGTGCTGAGGGGAATGGGGTGATGGAAGCAGTGGGCTACCTAGCAGGAAAGCTCCTCTCGGTTCCGGGTTCTGCCACTCCCAACCCTTCTCAGCTCCATCTGGCTCTGCTGTAAAACAAGACCCTCCCACACTGTGATTCTCCCTGAGATTCTCCCAGGCCATCGGGAAGCTTTAGAGATTGTACAAGGACCAGGACCTGCTGGGCAGTGAGGACATGATACCCAAGAGGGTTTCTAAAAATAAGACGGAGTCAGGCCTGCTGGCATAGACCTATGATCCCAGCTACTCGGGAAGCTGAGGCAGAAGGATCTCAAGTTCAAGATCTGCCTATGATACAATGAGTTCAAGTCTAGCCTGATCAACTTATTAAGACCTATCTCAAAATAAAAAGTTCGAAAAGGGCTAAGGGGGCTGGGCCTGGTGGCACACACCTTTGATCTCAGAACTGGGAAGGCCGAGGCAAGCAGATCTCTATGAGATCAAGGCTAGCCTGGTTCACATAGTGAGCAGCTGGGGCTACAGGGAGACCCTGGCGGCGGGGGGAGGCTGAGGATGTAGCTCAGTGGTAGAGTGCCTTCCCAGCATGCCAAAGATCTAGGTCCAATCCCAAGGATTAGGAAAAGGGGAACACCCTCACCATGGGCTTCCTGCTTTCCCGAAGTTTGATTTCAGCTGTCCATTGAGTCTTCCACATCACACACCATCACCATTCAGCAAGTACCCTATGACAAGTACCCTATGACAGCCCATTTCCTGGGGCCCCAGCATGTGTCAGGCTTTTTTTCCCTCAACCGGGGTGGGGGTGGGGGCACCCCATCTACATGCACAAAGGAGGACGTCTGGTGTTTTCCACTAGCAATCTCTAATTTATTTTTTGAGGCAGAGTCTATCAAGAAACTCGAAGCTCAGTGTTTCAACCAAGCTGGCCAGCGAGCTCCCAGGACCCATTTGTCTCTGCCCCCCAAGCCCTGGGGTTATAGGTATGGCCATGCCCAGCTTTTACATGGGTGCTGGGAATCTGAACAAGACCTCTTGCTTTCATTGAGTCATCTGCTGAGCCCTCATGTCAGGCTCTTTGAAGTGATACCTTCTCAAAGATGCCTTCCTCTAAGTCCAGAGCTGGTCTAAGATCTTACACCTCCATGTACCGCTGGGAAGGCACGCTCACAACCACCATCACCACTCATTCTACTGGACAGGAAGGAGGGGTCAGCTTCCCCGGGGCCTGAGCTGAACAAGGAACAGAAGCAGAGTCTGACCTAGGCAGCTCAGGCCCAGAGTCACTGACATGTATTTTTTCTGTGGTGCTGGGGATGGATCTCAAAGGTTTTGTACATACTAAGCAAATTCTCTACCACTAAGCCACACCCCCAGCCCTGCAGTGGGGCATTCTAGGCAAGGGCTCTACTGCCTGGTCACACCCCCATCCACAATCTCTGAACCTCGGCTCCCTGTTCTGAAGGGTGCTGCCCTCAGCCCTCTCTTTGTTCATACTTAAGTGTGCTGACTGCTTGGTATGCCTCGTTTCTCTTCCTCCAACACTTGAGAATGTCTCCTTCACCCCCTATCCCAAGCACAGATCAGGAGCCCCTCTGGCTTCTAACATGCCAGCCCTGCTCACTATGGGTCATCACTGTCTGACTCCCAGAACAGATGGTGGCAAAGAGAAAAAGCAGCGATGAAAGGAAAGGGCTCTGCGGCTGGACTCCAGGATCTAAACCTGCTTTGGCCAGCTCCTAGCAGCGTTGACATGGGCTCAGCCTGTAAACCCTGAGGTCTGAGTCTTTGTGCATAAACTACAGGTAAATTCTCCTACTCAGAGAACGCTGGGAGCACCTAAGGTGTAGAACACTGAGCTTCAGGGTAGGCATGTGCAGCTGTGAATGGTTCTAGCAACCCCCCCGCCGTGGGCCCCACCCCTGCACTCTCACCTGTTTGAGCACTGTGATCTTTGAGTCATTGGTGATCAGAGCCGCCTGGTTCAGGAGATCTACCACCTGGAAGAAGGGAAGAGCCATGTAATGTGGCTGGTCCTGCGGGCCCAGGTCAGCCACTGCAGTCCTCTTAGGACTCTGCCCACCCCCCAGCAGCATGTAAATGCAGGGGTCTGCCTTTCTCCCAGCCCTCACCACACTCACCCTCTCAGAGGTGGTCATGCCATCAATGCCCGGCCCCTCCTCTTGTGTGAAAAACTGGGTTGCCACGCTCCGGCGGGTGACACTGTCCCCACTGCTGCTTGCCATAGCTGCTGTCAGGTACTCCCTGGAAAAGAAGCTGGTGAGCACCCTTCCTCCTCTAGGGTGGGCATGGAGCTTAGGTCACATGCACAGGGTACACTTCTGGGAAGAGTGGTGTCCCAGGCCAGAGGCAGGCTAGTGTCATTTTCACATTTTTTTTTTAATTTTAATTTTTTGAATTTTATGTGTATGCGTGTATTGCCTGCATGTAGGTAAGTGCACTGTGTGGTGCAGTGCCCACGGAGGTCGGAAGAGGCTGTTGGATCCCCTGGGACTGGAGTTACAGACAGTTGTCAGCTGCCATGTGGGTGCTGGGATTCAAACCCAGGTCTTCTGCAAGAACCACCAGTGTTCTTAACCTCTGAGCCGTCTCTCCAGCCCCCGTTTTCACATTTTTTCTTGTTGAGACAGGGTTCATTTCGCTTTGGCTGGCCTTAAACTGACTTATGTATTCAAGGATGGCCATGAACTCCTAATCTTCCTAAGTGCTGGAATTATGGTTGTTATACCACCATACTTGGCAAGTACTTTTTTTGTAGTGCAAGTAATTGAACTCAGGGCCTTTAAGAAGCTTGGCAAATGCTCTGTGCTCTATCACTAAGTCTCACCCTCAGCCCCTCACTGGGGGATTCTAGGCAGGGGCTCTACCACCGAGCCACACCCCAGCCCCTCACTGGGGATTCTAGGCAGGGGCTCTACCACCGAGCCACACCCCAGCCCCTCACTCTCTCTTTTTTCTGTTTTTCCACTCTCACCTTTCCACTTCATCTCACCCTCTCTATGCCTCTAGCCTCTTGTCACCCTTCTTTATATCTGTTACTCTTTCCTGCAGTCTCCCAGCCTTCCCTCTCTGCCTGTTTCTCCCACTCCCCTCCCCACTTCCCTCACTGGGGGATTCTAGGCAGGGACTCTACCACTGAGACACACCCCCAGCTGCTCACAGGTGCCCTACCTCTGAGTAATGCCCCAAGCCATTGAGTTACAACATCTAGTTCTCCAACACCGGAAGCTGATTACCTGTTGGCCTCCTGTCTCTCCAGCTGGGCTGTACTCTGGAGTCAGCACCAGAACAAATTTTTCAAAGGAGCTCTGAGGACCTCCATCACAGAGCCTTGCACATAGCAAGAGCTCCTATATCAGAAAAGGCCATCTGTAAAAGTGTGGTGGCATATGCCTGCCATCCTAGCATTTCAGAGATAGAGGCAGGAAGATAGAGAAGTTCAAAAGACCAGCCTTGGCTAAATATCAAGTTCAGAACCAGCCCAGGATATATTAAGCCCTGTCTGTCTCTCTCTCTCTCACACACACATACAGTCAGGCGCAGTAGCACACACCTTTTGCTCCCAGCACGTGGAAGGCAGAGGCAGGCAGATGTCTGTGAGATTAAGGCCAGCTGGGGCTACACGGAGACCCTGTCTCAAACAAATGAAACAAATCAGTCTGCTACACTAGAGCACCCTTAAGTTGTCTGTTGCTCTGAAATGGAGGGAGGGAAGGCGACTTCTAGACAACTACCACTAAGTCACTCTGGCAACATCATGAAAGGAGTCAAAGCTACCATTATTCAAGCTAGGCATAGTAGTGCACTCCTTTAATCCTAGCACTCGGGAGGCAGAGGCAGGCAGATCTCTGTGAGTTTGAGGCCAGCCTGGTCTACATAGTGAGCTCCACGTCAGCTGGGGCTACAGGTAGCCCCTGTATGAAAAGGTAACCCATTTATAAAAAAAAAAAAAAAAAAAAAAAGGCAATATTATTAATGAAATATAAAAAAAAATAGTAAATGTGAGCAACAGATGTAGCTCAGTGGCCCCACATGCACAAAGCCCAGGGCTCCATCTCCAGGACCACATAATTCCAGTCCCTGGAGGATCCTAGCACTTGGAGGATTGGAAGTTCAAGGTCATCCTCCATACTTGGTGAGCTGGGAGGCCAGCCTGGGATATATGAAACCCGGTCTCAAAAAATAATATAAAACAGCAGTGTTTATATAAAACCTCCACACACTTTTGCAAACTTTTGTATCTTCTTTCTTTCTGGTGGTGCTAAGGATGGAACCCAGAGGCCCTGTACTCCAGCCAAGCACTCTACCCTGAGCTGTATCCCTAGTCCTTTTTACTTTCAGAAAAGGCAGCCCTTAAAGTCATTCTATAGTCGAGGCAAGTCTTGAACTTGTGATCCTCCTGCCTCAGCCTCCCAAGCAGTTGAGATTACAAGCCTGGGCCTCCACATCTGGCTTAAATATCTCCTGACTACTATCATTCTTAGTGCAATATAAATACTACATAAAAATTGTTACATGCTCATATAGATGCAATTTTTTTCCTGAATATTTTCAGTCTGAGGCTGCTTGAATCTACAGGTGTGGAGGTGTGGACACAGAGGGTTGTTTACTGTATATATCAGTACTTATTATTTACTTTTTTGGTCTTTTTCAGACGGGCTTTCCCTGTAGCCCCAGCTACATATCACTACTTTTTAATTTTTTGTATGTGTGTGTGCCTATGGAGGCCAGAAGAGGGCATCCAATCTACTGGAACTGGAGTTACAGGTAGTTGTGAACTGCCAGACATGGGGGGTGTGAACCTGTATCCTCTGCAAGAGCAGCAAGTGCTCCTAACCTCTGAGCCATTTCTCCAGCCTCAATCAACACTACTTTCTAATTCACTTGTCTTCTCTTAAATGCTGGAGCCCAATCTATCTTATCCCCAATTCCTTCCTTTCTGAGGCTGCAAAGCATTTTATTACGTAGATGTAGTGGTTATTTCGGCCAGTCTTCTACTGATGGATGGCTGGCATGTTTGCAGTCTTTCCCAATGAGAAACAGGATGACGGTCTCTCTGTCCTTCTCGCGTGCTCAGCTCTGGACGGCTTCACCCTCAACCCAGCTGCGAGTCCGAAGACTCCTTTATTTTCTAAAGAGTGGCTTCCGGAGTACTGTTTCATTCATTCCACGAACACTAACTGAGCAGCTCCAGTGGACGAGTACTGACTGAAACACACCCAGTCCTCACACACAGGGAACACAGGGTCACAGACATCCTTAGACCGCATACAAATCAACTCCAATCACAAATTCGATCACACGTGACAAGAAGGAAAGGCACAGGGACCTGTAAGAGAGCCTTCAGCAGACAGATTTTGGGAAGTCGGGAAGGGAGGGTTTCGCAGGGGAAGTGACGTCGGGTGCCGAGCCCCCCCCACCACGGATGAAGGGGAGTTGGGCAAGCCTAATGGGTAACAGGACGTTTCGGGGACAGAAAAGGGGGGAATTGCCTGTGCAAAAGTACTGACGCAGGAGGTCGCACGGCCAGCCTGAAGGAGGGAAAGGCTGGGTGCACCTGGATGCTGGGTGCTGAGTGCTGGGTGGAGTATGAGCCGAGACACCCACTGGAGGTCGTAGGGGTTTGCGGGGCGGACGCTGGACCACGTTGAAACTTTGGCCCGCGGGAACTAGGGAGCCAAGGAAGCTGGGGGGAGCGGGGGAAGCCAGGTCTCGCAACCCCGCGGCTCCTCCTTCCCCGAGGCCCCATCCGCCTCTCGCGCCCCGACCGCGCCGGCGCCCCTCCTCCCTTTGCCCCGGACCCTCCTCACACCGCCACCCGCTCACCGCGGCTCGGGCCTCCGTCCCCCTCGCGCCCCCTCAGCAGCGCCTCTCCGCAGACGCTGCCGCCGCCATCTTCCGCCTACCACCGAGACACGGCGCAGGCGCTGCACTAGTAGGGCCGCCGGGAAATGAAGTCCCGGATCCCGGTCCGTCCCCACCCCTACAACATGCGGCGTAAGCAGCGGCCCGCCCTCCCCAGCCGGCCACCCGATCGGCCGCCATTTCCGGCCTTCGAGCGCCATGCCTTCTGGGAAATGTAGTCTGTGGCTCGAGAACCCTGCCCAGGGACGGAAATGAAAGCGGAGGCTTCTGGGAAATGAAGTTCTCGGAGATCTGGCGTTCCCCACCTCCCTAGACGGCAGACTGACGTTAGAGTGGAGAGTGCTGTGAGCGAAGCGCCTGGGTCTTGGAGGTGATCTGTTGCCCTAATGGGATTCAAACCGAAATCCTGAGCCTTTTCACCGCTCTCTGTGACCCTATACACAGCCTGAAGCATTTACAGCCGCCCGCACCCTCAGTCTTCCCGTCTGTCCAATGGGAATGTAGTTTGAAGCTTCCCGATGGTACTTACGGTGTTTTAAAGGGATTTGGGGAGTCCTTTAGCGCCCTGAGCCTCCTTTATTTCATGGGGGACACGTGAGGCTCTGGCTTTTCCCTCTCTTAGGTGATGATGAAACACCCTGGGGCAGAAAGATGCCTCTCCTCACCACACCCCTGCGTTGAGCCCTTGGGGGCCCTTAACATCAGCGGTGTGTGGTCCTTCCACCCCACCCCTGGTAGCTCCCTCACTGTTCATCCATCCCTAGGTCTCAGGTACTAGGACTGCGGCTCCCGGTGCCTGAGGTTTTTCTCCTCGCCATCCCGCAGGGGGCGCCCCAATCCGAGTGCGCGGCTCTCAGGGAGGCGGGAGGGGAGCCTGGGGCGGGCTAGGGCGGGGGTGTCCCGGCTATAAAGCCCGGCCGCCTCC